GTGTGGGAAATTATATTTCATTCACACACAAAAAATTGCTGCATTACAAGCGCAGATTTCTCCTTAACGTAGCACATTAAAAGTGTTAATGCTAATACAGCTATGCTTGTAGTGCTTTATGTAATTACGTTCATGAAACGTTAGAAAGTGGAAGGGTAAACTTATTCCTGTAACAGGCCGTGGAGGCCCATAGAGTTATGAGACGTCGAGGCTCCCACATTTTCTAGACAATCGGCTCACAGATCGCGGCGAGGTTGTCAGCCTTACCCGCCGGCCGCCCTTTACCCCTCCAGGAAGATTCCTGATAACTCATTTCAGTTAGAGGCTGAGTCGACCTCAGGGCCATAGTGCGGCTGTAAGGATTATGTAAATTAAAGACAAAAATAGTCAGTGATCTCATCTGGAATCGAACCCGCGACATTGCGGCTTGTAGCATACTGCCTCAACCATCTACGCTACCGCGTGGCCCACATTAAAAATTGTTACGCCTTGTACGATCCTAAATACTTTCATTAATGATTAATGTATAACTAAAACTTGCATAACTAAAAGCACTATTCTATGAAGAAGAAAGTTTTTTTGTTTTGTTTTGTTGTGGGACTGTGTTCGTTGACAAACCGACCCAGCGGGCCGCAAGAAAAGAAAGTTTGAGAACTAATAATACTCTCCGTGTCAGAGCCCGTAACATTACATTAGATAGGACATTGTGCGTCTGTATTGCACTGTTCATAAAATGTGGAATATGAAATATTTTGTCTGTATGGAAGAGGAACATTTTCCAGGAAGTTTGGTGTGTGGTGTAAGTTACGTTGTGGTTGCTTCCCTAGAAATTATGACGTATATCGCAAAAATGTAGTTATGAAGTCTCTCAGTTTTCTCGTGCACTTACCCCCAGTCACAATGTTAAATAAAACTTTTCTAATTAACCGACTACAGACGAATGGAAATCCGAACCATGAAAACAGGAGATTGAATTTGTTATTACTGCTCCATTTTATAGGACTGAAGCACGCGGTAGCGCAGTTGGTTAAGGCACTTTGATACAAGTCGGAAGATCGTAGGTTCGATTCCCGATGACGTCATTGGATTTTTTAATTGACCTAATGCTTCCAGCCGCACTACGGCCCTGGGGTCCACTCAGCCTCTAACAGAAATGAGTACCCGGAATCTTCCTGGAGGGGTAAAGGGCGGCCGGAGCATAAGGGTGACAACCTCGCCGCCATCTGTGAGCCGATTGTCTAGAAAATGTGGGAGCCTCGATGTCTCACAACCCTATGGGCCTCCACGGCCTGTTACAGGGGTAGCATCACATTTTTATCACAACACGGAAGACCGCAACATCAGTGTTCACCACGGAGGACGCTTACAAGCAGAAGTTTTGTTCTTTCACCGGAATGTAGTTACTTTTCTTGTTATACACAGTGGCTTACGTTTTGTATTCAGGTACTTAATTGTTAATTAATGTCTCGTCCCCTAACGTTTGGTTCCTTAATACAAATGAAAAACAATTAATGAGTTGAAAATTACCGGGTTTTTGGACTTCGTCCGTCATCCGGTATTCTAGAAACTAGAAAACAACATTTCGGAAACTGGATTTGTTTCCGTCCTCAGGTGAGGGGAGAGGCACCTACTCTGTTCTGTCTCTTAGGAAGGTTAACCTCAATCACTGGACAGAGGAAACGGATCCAGTTTCCGAAACGTTGTTTTCCAGTTTCTAGAATACCGGACGATGGCCAAAGTCTAAGAAATGAGCAATTCTGAGTGTTATACACCACCAGAAGCCCTTGGAATTGAAGAGTTGCCCATCTCTGGCACTGGAACTATGCAGAATCATCTGTTACACACATTTGGGCCTAAGCATTCGGCGCTTCAGCAGATGACACATGCAGTAACGATGTGTACGATGATAGAAATGAACATTAACGCGGCTTCTCAAGGAATAATTTTACCACATTGTCGCCCCAAAATGTAATTGTGAAGTTTATCAATTGCAGTGTGCAATCAGTTTCATGTAAGCGTGTGGCCTTCCGTCATCTGCTTCTTGTACTGAAGAAGAACCCGATGACCGAAAGTCATCCACAAGAAAATGTTTTTCATAAAAACTAATGCAGACATATAATTAAATTCTATTATTTTCATCACAGTATTGCGACATATTTGCACAAAACCAGAAATTCAGAGTCAGATTAGACGGTCTTGCTTAGGGAACGGCTCTGCAAATACGCTTCCGTGGTAACAAATACGCACGCAACAATAGAAGAACTGTTTGTGGCGGTATTTTCTATGTGGTCCGTACCGAAGTATGTACCAGGGACCGAAGGGGACGGCCGTGTGGAGGCGGGGTCGAATACCTCCACCATAACCGTGAGAACCGTAGGAGGCGACAAAAAGGGAACCCAGTGCCTGGGGGATATAAATACGGGGACCTAGCCCTCCAGTTTATGCGAGTCTCAAATCTGAAACAGTAAAGTACGGTCATGAGCCCTGTGGGACTCGGACCCGAGCTGACTGCGCTGGCCAGGCCCAGCAGTAGTTGTAAATTACAGATGCATCCTCTGGTCAGAGAGCATGTTACATAAGGACTATGACAGCAAGAGTTCCGTTAAAAAATCTCTGGTCGTGAGCCTCAAGTGGATTGGCGCCAAGGCTGATTGGCGGTAAAGCGCCATTTGTAACGCAACTCTGAGTTTTGGAGTGACTGAGTCTGCAGTTGTTAGACAGCCGCCCCGTGGCGGAGGGTTGGGCGCAGACGAATCCACAACGCTAGAAGTCATTACGCAATAAAGTCTTGTTAAGACATTAACGAAGGAGCGTCTAGTGAAACCGTGGATAACTGAGAACAGTAGTGTGCGTACTAAAGATCTGTAAAGTGATGTCACGTCTTCTGTAAGAGTTTAGTAAATGCAATTACCAGTCCAAACCCCGTCTATAGTCACTAAACAAGTGAGCATGTCTAAATTAATGCTTACGCGCGTATTTAAGGACAATAAGCTGGAGCGAGGATTCGAACTACATCCATAAACCGCGAACCAAGGCTTCCATCGTATTGCACTTGATAACGTACACAGCAAATTCCCTGTGTTTGTGTGTTCCCCGTTCGATACGCTGTAGGGAAGAGGAGATTGAAAGGATGGCGACAAAATACTGACAGGTCGTTTACAGATACGTTACGTCCTCTGGTTCTGTTGCGCTTTCTCATTTGTTATTGCACTCGTGTATCTAACTATTGATTGTTATAAATTATGCTATTCCGTATTGTCTGACTGAATTCATGCGTCCCAAACCCGTCGCTCATAAGTCTCGATAATTGTGCTGTTTAAATAATGGCGCTGATTAGCTGGAGCAGGAATTGCGCTGAAAACCGAACAGTGCTAGTGGAGGCCGGTACTGAACTGTCATTAAATGTCATTAGAATTTCCCTCCCACCGAGCCGTCCATTGTAGCAGACTGCTTTCAGGAATCTCGTGAATACAATTAGGATTTATATGCAGATCTATCATTCTCCTCTAACAGAATTAAACCGAAACAAGATTCCCTTGTAGTCTGAGATGAGACATTTAATATTGCACCATTTGTATCTGTGGTAGAAACTGTGGTTATTCACTTAATCCGTTCCACCAACTTCAGCACAACTCCGGCCTCCGGGATTCCCCTGCTTGCTGACTCCGACAGTTCTTATATTCGCCACTAGAGTGGGTGATGAACATGGCTTGCAACACAACAGTCCTATTGCTGCGCGACGTTGCCGCGTACATGCTTAAGCATCATATCTCATTGTGACAATTCCTCTGTTGTTTCGTGCGGGTATTAGCTCTCAACGTCTGTTTCTCTGGCTTCACAGTTCTCACTCTGGGCAAATACGCCGCAATATGATTATCTGCCAATAAACTTAAATCACATGTGCGCATGAGTCAGTAGCGTAAGAGAATAGATGGTAGCGTGTTTATGATTCTCATCTTAGTCTGTACCATACGATGTATTGCTCATATTTAAAACATCCAGAAATGGGCCAACAATTCGTTTATTTTATTTTATTTGCACCTCCCATTTTGGTGGTTAAAAATATGTAGCTTTATTTAAGAATCCTACTGCATTAATGCATAGCTTCTGTAGAAACGTATCCCCGTCTTAAATGCAACTCATTATCCAGTCACCTTTCTTCTACGCTGCATATTTCGATTATACACGGCCTTCATCAGGTGTCTTCTATCTCGCTAAAACTGTTGCACCTTATGTCAAAGCTATATATCCCGTGTAAACTCGGTATTTTTTATTAAAACGAATTAAGCTTTGAATCAAAATTAATTAGAATCTTAATGTTATTTTCATTGTCGTTGTCCTTTCGTTTAGGAGATATTTGCTTCAGAATATTGCTCGTTATTGGATTTATTCGCGCAGCATTGCCTTTGCGGCGAGGGCGTTATGCGTGTTATCTGTGCAGTTATGTGTGCTCCATTCACTTTTAGGTTTTCCCACGTTGGTAGACCAGGTGTGTTGTTATGCTATTTAAGACGCGTCTAAATCCAATAACGAAAAATACTCCCAAGAAAATATTTTTTTAAATAAATGGACGACGATCACAGTAAAAATAGTATTATGACGTTAATTAATTTTAATTCTAAGTTTAATTCGTTTTAAATAGGAAATATCGGGTTCACAGGCAATATATAACTTCGAACATATAGTGGAACAATTCTAGCAAGACAGTCGATACCTGACGATGGCCGTATATGGTCGAAACATGTATTGAGGAATAATGGTTACTAGATTGTATTTAAGAATGAAATATATGTACAAATGTATGTGTATGTGTACATACATAATACATACATATATACATTATGTATATATACATAATTTTGTATGTGTACAAAATGTGTATACTATTTCATTGGGATTACTTTACATAGGAACTCTTTACAGAACTTGCGATAAGGACTCATTTTTAAGAGCATGTTCCTTTCTTAATGAGAAGGCATATTGCATAATGCACTGCTCACCTATAGTTGAGACGATGGTGCCTACGAAGTGGAAGCTTCCAGGGAAGTCCCACCGCCTTCTCTTATGTATGATTCCTGCAGAAGTGGCATTTCCATAGGCGTACAGCAACTGCTGGACCTTGTCCATGTACATTTCATTGTGACTGATGCACTCGGAAGAATTCTGCCGCTGCTGTGAGCTGTCTTCTTCCACTTCCTCACCGGAAGTGCAGTTGGTCTCGTTGCCATGGCTCCCCGTACCGTTCCCAACTTGCATCAAGAGAAGCAAATAGTGACGGCGGAAATCCGAGTAGATGCGCCAGAATTCGCGAGTCATTCTCAGTTCTGCGTCCCCTTCCAGATATTGGAACAAGGCAGCTCCGGCCAGCATGTACAGAACAAGCACTATGGCGAGCAGAAGGAACCTCGCGTTGTCCTCCGTCAAATGCAGCAGGGTACAGCACCCCATTCTTACAGTGAACTGTTCCACAACAGATTCAGAATCAGCACACCCTGTATCGCGGCCATTTTCTGGACGTGCGTAGAACGTTTCCGAGACATACCGGATTGTTAAAATTGTTCCTTTCTGTTTGAAATACGAACATAAAAACCGTGTTTTAATTGTAAGCTCAACAAAAATTAATATAATGTTATAATTTAAAATATTATGAAGTTGGGATAATTATGTACCTAAATTTTTAAGGCTGTTATTTTTAATAATGTAAAACTATTTCAGAGCACGTATATCACGATATGATGACGGTAATAATAGTTGAGTTCAGTTCTTTGTTTATTTACGCGCAGAACTGAACAGCTACTTGCCAACTGCGGAGTCCATATAAATGCAAACAACAACAACAATAAAACAAACGTAAGGAAAAAACAATGATGATGACGGTAAATGTCATCAAAGAAATAAAAATTTATGATATATGAAGCAGAAGAAATTATAAAACTACATTTTCCTAAGGAAAATGCTCTATTTACTTAGAGATTTCAATGGCAGTAGCTAATAATGACATGACGGCACATACGGAGAAGAAATTCATTTGTGGATAAATGTCAAAGATTATTGCATGGAAATGCTGACGGCATTAAGATTTGCACGGAAGCAGTGGGTCTTCTGCACAGAATCCTTTGTTATGTAATTTAAGTACCGGTTCAATAGAAGTGCGGATAGGACATACATTTCTCCCACGAAAATTCTTTCCTTGGATGTGGCGATATATAATTTGGCATATGATTACCAAACTACACGGGGTCACATCCCAGAAAACAATATTTTTTTATAGTCACCACTATGAGAACCTCAAATCTGTTTTTTTTTTTACTCCTAGTGGGGTGGGACTAAGTCCCTTGTACTGCGGCCACTTCTGGCCTATTGTACCAGCCCCAGATGATAGGTGAGGGTGATTGTGGAGCAATTGGTGGAATGAAGATTGGCAGGGGAAACCGAAGTACTCTGAGAAAACCTGCCCCAGCACCACTTTGTCCACCACAAATCCCACTTGACCAGACCCGGGATCGAACCCGGGTCGCCGCGGTGGGAAGCCAGCAACTAACCGCTTGAGCTATTGCGCGGCCATAAGCTAATTAATTCTATTTTGAACAAGGAAAATTTGCCTGATCATTGGAAGGAGTCTATTATTGTACCAGTTCACAAGAAGGGCGACAAAACTGACTATAGTAATTATCGAGGGATATCACTATTATCAACGTCATACAAAATTTTATCCGATATTCTTCTCTCAAGGTTAAGTCCATATATAGATGAAAGTATTGGGGATCATCAGTGTGGGGTTCAACGTATCAGATCAACCGCTTGAGCTAAGGCAGGGCCTAGAATCTCACAAACTGTATCACATTCCAGCAAACTGCAGATAATAATGTGAAGTCGCGTGCACAGTAACACACGGAGCCGCGGACTGCTGCTGGGTGCTTCTGTCCCAAGGAGAAACACTTGAAACTCACAGCCACAAAACAGTCATGAATAGCAAATGCACCCTGGAGGTAAAGAATAATTTCCTCTTCAGTTTTAATGAGTTACAACAGACGGGAATACAGATCGACGGAGCATGACGTCACGGACCGAGTTTAAAAGCGCCACGACGTCGGACGCGAACTGACGCAGCTACCCCTACCGTTTAGATAAACCCTCAACTCCGCAACCACGTGTTCCGTTACAGAGTGCACTGCGCAGCCCTACAAGTTGTCTCTTGTGGAGGCGAGGAAATTTCTGAAAGAAGAGACCGATAAAACTAAGTGAAAAGATAACGTTCTAGTGAAATAGTCTTTCTGTTTGTTGTCGTTTTATTCTTCCCGAGTCTCCTTTATCCTACCTTCCTTTATGTGTCTTATTCAACGACGCAATCAGTGACCGGAACATTTTGAGGTGTCTGAGTGACTCCACAGAGTGCTTTCGATTCAATATTGGATTTATTGACCACTTTAACACGCAACTCGTAATTACATTTAATTATAGCGCCATCGCTGATTTCCACGCTTTACAAGTTTTTTTTTTCAGCCCGCAGTGTCTTCACTAGTAGTTCCCTTGTAACGGCTTCTAACAATGGCTATTCCTCTGCTTCCGTGCTCAGGTCCTCTCTGAACGGCTGCCCCCTTCCAAATACGAATTCTTGCTGCAAGTAAGCTTTACAGTTTTGAACATATAAGGAAATGTACAGTGTCACAGAATAACGGGCCAAATTATTAACTTTTCCCTTCTTTATAACTGTTGTTCCGCCTTCTGTTTCGGAGTCGTTGCCTAGAAAGAAATGTTTTCAGATCCGTTCTCTGGCTCCACAATTTTTGCCTTGAACAAATATGCCACAATATGTGGTGTTGGCTGGTAGGATGATTGGTGATTAGGACGGAAGTGATTGTGGCCTAACCGATGTACTTGGCTTGGTGGGGAATGCCGGTTCTTCCGGCCGGGATTCAAACCAACACCTCCACATTCCGAATCTACTCTTCCAGTCCACAATTTACGAGCTGGTTCTTTCAAATCCGCCTTTAATATAGCTTCCAGTGGTTCATTATAATGGTCGCGCTGCCTATGGCATGAACTGTCTTCACCCGCTCAAACATTGGAGTTGTGGGTTCGAATCCAACTTCAGACATAGATATCTATCTACTTTATTCTGTGTTTGTGTTGTCCTGTGTAGTTAGCGGCCTTGCGACCGGCTGATCCCCACCCAAGGGGTCCTGCCTACTGTCTATATGATTAGGAAACTATGAAAAACAGAGGCCAAAGTTTATGATGGACTTCACCGCCCGCAGAGTAGTGGTTGTGGTTCAGTATTTAAGGACTTCTTTGTCACTGAAGACTGAGTCACTGAATGAGTTACTTAGTCAGAGGACTGCTGAGGTTCAGTCATTGTGAGCTGTTGCTGTTAAAAGCTGGTAGCTGAGGCCGCGGTTAGTTCGGGAACCCAGCGGAAGGGGGACGTCCGTCAGAAGTTAGAAGCCGCTACCAAGCAACGGCTAGTGAAGGCTGTAGCAGACTGATAAGACCAAATGTGTTCTATACTGATTTGTGAATTTTAGTAAGGAGTTGTATAAGTCTACAATAAATGCGATTGCCAACACAAACCCCCGTGTATAGTTACACTACATAAAATTATGTGACTATTTTTAATGATTTAGACCCGTTGCTAAGTAACGAATCGATAAACAACGACCTCTGCTAGGAAACAGATTCCTAACAAGCAACAATTGAATCACAACAGTTGGGAGATGTTTTCTACGCGCTCCGTGCGGATGTGTTATAGGCAGGACAAGTCTAGAATTTAGTGAGTTGTGAGTCATCGCTAGCCAATAAGGACGTAAGCAGAGGACATTGTTAACATCTGTTACTAGGAAACGGCTAATGAAAGCAAATTGAGAAGATTTAGTGTGTGCTCTAGTCTGAAGACGAGTGCATGAATTGGCGAGAGCGTTATAATCACTTGCAGTTACGGTCTGGAAGTGATCAGTAAACCAAATCGCCAATCGCAACTCCGTGTGCAGTCGCCCATACAAGTTTTCCTTTATGAGATTATGCCGTTCTGAGATTTCATCGTGCAAAATAAAACCGGTACGACTGTCTCAGTGGAGTGTGCGTATTGCTGTGTAGTTGTGTTCGGAACGATATATCGATCAGTGTCCCATTTCTTTATCCGTGCATTCACGTTTGTCGTGGCTACAGCATGGCATTCGGAATGACAAATGTGTACGGTCAATTGCATACAAGAAGTCACATTAAGGAGGTCTGCATTTATATATCAACACGAATATAGCCTTTAACAAACAAAAAAACAAAAATGAAAGCCATCTGCAAACTGCAGATCCACGTGAATAAAAAGGAGTAATATATTTCGGCACAAAGAGACGAGTTAATGTGGATCTATACATCCACTCCCCCATACGGCTTCATGGCGTAGGGCTTAGTTACTTAAACAAAGGGAATTCACTTTTTTTTTACTTTACGAAACCAGATAACGCCTTATCAGGTTTAAAGTAGCTTTACAGTTTTGAACATATAAGGAAATGTACAGTCGTGATCGCTAATGGACGTTTAGTCATCGGCTTCCAATATCGACGGTTCCCGGGCTCGATTCTAGGTTAGGTCATCCGATATTTTTGGTCCACAAAGTCGTACTGTGGCTGGTTTTTCTCGAGGACTTCGTTTTCACCTGCCATCAATTTTTTCAACGTTCATTAATCATCCTATCATCCGACGCTGTGTAGTCCCGATGTTGACAGCGTCGTTAAATAAGCAACTGTCACTATCCGTTACAGCCACGCAACAGTGGTCGCAGTAAAAACAATTCTTGTTCTTTTTGCGAATAACATTTTAAGGCAAAGTTCTGGAAATAACTAATCGCCTGCTTTCCTTTGTTACTACACGGACCGCATAGAAAACGCGCCTCCAACAATTCTTCGTTTCCTCGGGTACATCTTTACGAAGTTGTTACCTAGCAACGATAGAGGGCTACAGACACACGCGTCCAAGAATTCTTCTATTTTTGTGACTTCTCGTTGCCGCAGGAACGTGATTACCACGCCGTTGCCTAGCAATGAAAGAGGGATACATTATACCGAACATTTGCCTAACAGAGATATGGGGATACACATACAGACACACAGACTGGTGGAAGGAATTTATGAATTACGCTTTTGAGATGGGTTCAGGAGACATACAAAATTTCATAAAAACTGGTTCAGCCGTTCAGAAGTTTAAAAAGGGGATACACAGACACGTAGACAGCGTGGAGATGGCATAAGCCTTCTTTTAGTTTCCAAAATACGTTAAATCGGCTAAAACAACGATCACTTTACGTATCTCGTCTGCATTTTTACATTGCACTGACTGTATTCATGTGTTTCCTGTGACTCTCGGAGTGAACAGCAGTTTATTTCCCTAAGCAGAATTTGTCGATTGGCTTTCTGTCGTATAGGAATTTAATTATGAAATCTGCGTTAAATGACCTCCAGGTTCAGAAGGCTCTGGGGAGGCGGGCCGTCGTGATGAAGAATTCAGCCCGTACCTCCTTCATTTATTTGGAAATTCAGAACTCAAGGTACGCAGTTTCATTGACGATGCTTTCTAACAAAGACTAGCGTGTTTCAGCAATAATGATTGGTGGACCAATGTTACGTAATTTCCGAGCGTGCTCATTTGGAACAAGAAGAATGGTTTTCATTTAGGTTTATTTAAGAGAAAGTACCCGTTCTTTGCCCGGGGTACAGTTACCTCTTATTATTTTATAATATTGTCACGTGTGGGGGGTAGGTGTGACAAAAGTAACGGGTTATAGATCGGATGATAGGATTTATTGGCCCTTCGGTTACAAGTTCTCTCACTTACAAAGCTATCGCTATTCCACAGCCTTTCAGTTTACTGTTGCACACGCACTAGTATTCTCCATCTTCACCAGCCGTCTCCTGGCAACGGATCTCAACACAGAACAAACACTTCAAATCACCGTGAAGTCTTCTTATTATTTTGTCTTCAGTCACTCTGTACTCCTGTATCACAATCTGTACTCAATCTTCACAGTTCACTGAGACAGGTTTCAACATTCACACAGTTAAGTCCAAAAGTTTTCTGACGAATTTAATGGGAAACTTTAAAGAGCGGAGTGTTGAGTATCGAACTTTCCAGTAATCTTGTCGAAAGTAAAACTGTCTGAGAAGCTCCATAAATTTTTAACTTGAAATCTGTTGAACTGCAGGAGCTCACGAAGCCTGTATTCCTTCCTCATGGACATCCAGCCGCAACAGATCCTACACATCCGACAGAGCTAAACCTGTTACTGTTATTACACCTCATATTTCATTATTTTGAGGCTGTCTTCTGGACTTTGACTCCGTACAGTCTGGTAAATGGATACAAAACTTTCGGAGGAATATAGTGGCTTCATCTTCAGAGTTACTTCTCTCTTGAAGATAGAGGAAACATCCTCCAAAACTTGTAAGATTTGAGGTTTTCACGGCGGTGACTATGAAGAAGGCAGTCTTCTGGGATTTGGCGCCGGTTACCGGTTCTCACGGTCTCTTCGTCTGTGCATTTCTTATATTTTTCCTTCTACCCCGAAGATGGAGGCGATACGTTCCTCCGAAACGTCGGTTAACACCACATATACGCGGTGCCAAATCCCAGAAGACTGCTTTCTTCACCCTCCAAAACGTTTGTAACCCCCTACCAGACTAAACTTTAGCGCTTTCCAGAAGCCTGAAGTTCTTTCGACCTCAGTGAAATCTAAAATCTCCTGTGACGTTTAGGCAGTTTCTCTCTGCGTTTACTTTGCAGGATATACCCTCAGAGTTTCGCACTGTCGCCATATTTGTGATTTTCTGCTTAATAAAATTCGAGACAGGATGTATAAGCACGCCTGAGACATATCTGGACCAAATTTCAGCTGTCTATCTCAAATGTCCCATAGCTATCGCTTTCGAATNTTGTAACCCCCTACCAGACTAAACTTTAGCGCTTTCCAGAAGCCTGAAGTTCTTTCGACCTCAGTGAAATCTAAAATCTCCTGTGACGTTTAGGCAGTTTCTCTCTGCGTTTACTTTGCAGGATATACCCTCAGAGTTTCGCACTGTCGCCATATT